GTAATTGTTCTTGTGCAGAAACCGAGAGATGCTGCCTCCAAGTTTGTATCGTCCAATTCTCAAATTATTTGCTTTTTAGCATTTGCGTCACTAGGCACCCTCTGAGTGACACGGGGCAGTATTATGGAAGAATTCTTGCGTGTCCTATAAGTAGCCTGGCTGAGCAGTAAGGAGGCAGGAGTGAAGAAACACCTGCTCTTTTCCTTTCCTTTGTTTGCTAATCGTCTTCCGTCCAGTTTAGCCTTTGGTGCCTTAATTTAGCTATAGCATGGAGCAAGTAGACTGTGGCTAGTGAAGAACCACAGGTTTCCTCTTTACCAGTCGGATCAGTTGGCTATGCTGGTCTGTGAAAGGAAGTACTCAAGATAAATGCACGGACAGCTATTTCCTCATGTGCTGTTCAAAGGCTCCTTGCAAAATCCTTTTATTTTATCAGTGCTTAATATAACTTAAAGTAACCTTTCTGATGACCTTAATGCAAAGAAAGAGAAGTGTATTCATGTATATAAACATATATATTCATATTTGTGAGATTATATATATATAGTTAACGGTCATTTAAAATCCAACAAACTTGTATGTAAGAAAAGTAATTCTGTATTTATGGAAATATTAGGACAAGAAGGTTGTACCTATCACATTTTCCATAGACATAAGTAGCATTTCAAAAACAACAAGATATTTATTCCAAATCATTTAAGATAATTTTAATTATAGTAACATTTTCTTCTAGTCTCCTGGTAGAATATCCCTATGCTTGGCATTTTTCTAGTCTTTTCCCACTGTGAAATGTGCCTTCAGATCTTCTTGCACAGAGCATTCCTATCTTTCTCTCCAGCTTCCTGACACTTCTAGACACTTTCCTTCACCTCCAGCTAATCAAAGCCCTAGCTTCTGGCTTTCCCGAGCAGTCAAGCCCTTTGACAACCTTGAAGCATTAGCCAGTTCACCTATTTTACCCGAAGAGAGACTAGATATAAATAATTTCAGACCAATTAGAGTTGACAACTTTCCTCTAAAAGTTATAATAAAAGAGAAAAGGAAGAAAATACAATGAAGTCTACATTAACTTAAAACGTATTGCTGGTTTAAACTTAAACTATTACATAAAAGCAGGTGAAAAAAATCAATATTCAAGTAACTGACATTGTAATTCGAAGATAATGACACTGCCTTGCTACTAACCCCAGCCTCCTTTATCTTCATGTCTATGCTGATTATCATACAGACCATCACACATCAGCCAAGGATGGGAGAAAAAAATACATATTGTATTGCTTTTAGTTGCATGAGATAAATAATAATGATAAAATTATGAGTTAACCTTTGATGAGATATTATTTATGCCATTGATGATTAGAAGCAAAATATTCAAGCTGCTCAATGAGTATTTTTTTCATTAATTTTAACTTTTCAAAATGCATAGAATTTCACCATCACCTTCGAAAACAGTAATGAACATTTTTCTATCAACTTCTAAAGAGAATGCTATGCACTGGAAGAAACAGAAAAAAATAGAAGATATAGTATCTGCCCTTAGAGAGCTTACGGTACCTGACAAAAGAAGTACATATCCGAGGAGAGAAACAAAAATGCAAGGCACCAGCAAAGCAGCAAAAGGAGAGTTCTTAATCAGACTATGGAATTGTGAGAGGGAACATTCCGGGAATGAAGTCAATCCAAGGCAGGATGACAAAGGAGATAGTACCACCCTGAGCCAACTGCCCAGTGAGTGCTCTGGTTAATAATGCAATAAAGGCACGTCGATTTGTTGAAAACGTGCAAGGGAAATGTCTGGGCACTCTAGAAAGCAGCACAGCAGAACAACAGGTTAAGAGTAAAGTAATGGGTAGCCCTGGCGGGGCCAAAACCAAAGCAACAAACAAATTTGGGGGCACGCAGCACTAGTGTCTCGGTACGGAGGGTATTTATCACGCAATAGGATGTTCGCTTGGACTAACCAGCTTGTGGTACAGCTCAGCTCTTCATGTCGGAACAATTTATTGCCTAATTATTTAGTTTGCCCTTTGAAGAGTCTGTCTGCGGGACCCTTTCTGAGAGGGAGCATGCACACACACCACACAAAGTGGGCTCTTGGAAAGTCATCTTCCCCATTGCATTAAAAACAAGATAACCTTTTATCAAATGCATCGCGATCATTTAGAATACTGAATTTGTATTTTAATCATTGAGTTCAACAGGAATATAGCCAGTGGGAAGGACTTAATTACAAATGATGTCTTTCTGGTGGTTGTGCCTGCCGTCCCAGGAGGAGTTTTAATAAAGTTCCAAGCCCTGGGACAGCAAAGGTCAAACGGCTTTGCCCACCCCCATGCCTCCTCAGTTCCTCAAAGTGCACAGAGCTGAACCTTTATCTTAGCAGATGTTCAACCAGGTATAATATTAGCCGGAGGCAAAGATTCCGGGAAAGCTGAGTTCACAGGGAAGCAATTCTCCCTCTATTCAGGGCACAGTAAAGCAGCCTGTTTCAGTTTAAAGAGAGGGTGAATTTAGACTATTTCCATTTAAATATAAATACATATTTCACTAGGACAGCAATACACTCTCATAACTCTTTGGCTGAACATTAATGCAACACATAAAAAATTCTTCTCAAATGAATTTAAAACAAACCCAAAGATAACTTTAAATAATCCACAAATTACATGACTTCGAAGAGTAAATAGAAATGTTCACAAGTCAGTGGAACGAAGCTCAAATAACACGTAGAAATAGGCACTGAAGTGTGAATAAATATTTGTGATTAGAGCAGCTGAAGATCTTTGGGCAGGGACCAGTAACCTAGCAACTGGAAAGGACCAATGGGGAATGGAGACAAGGTAAGATTGACAGGTAGACTTGTGCTGGGCAGTAGAGGTAAGAAGCTGTGGCTATTTCTGGAAGTCTGTCTCAGCTACTAGAGTTACACCTGAAATTGGTGTCCTGCACAATAACTATACATAGAGCAAACCACAAAAGCCAGGCCCAAGTGCCACCCCCAGCCAGCTGAACCTCTCCCTAGGCAATCACCAGAAATTAGTGTTGCTTCAACTCTTTTCTACCTGAAGAAGCAACACCAGAGATGTAGACTGCTTCTAGATAAGCTCATAGCCACCCAGCACCAGCCTGGCTCGTGTAGGGCCTTCGTGTAAGATTGGTAATGTATTTTTTTCTGTCTCATTCCATTATGATCTTTAAAATATACGCTACCCTAAATGTTCTCAAGAAATAGCGTAGAAAACACTTTCGCAGTTGCAAAGCAGAGATGTATCCTGTGTTTACCCACAGTTATTGCGGGCCTGTCTGAACAGCAGTCTCAACAGCTGCGCAATTGAGAACATGACATTGCAAAACCCTCAGAGTGCTGCCTGTGTGGGAAACAGAACAAAAAAAAGAAAAAAGAACCAAGGAAGGAAGGTAAAGCTCAAGGTCCTGAGTTCGATCCCAGAAACAACAACAACAAAGGAGTAGAAGGGAGAAGCCGCAGAGGAGTTACTGCGGAGAAAGGTGCTGAATTGCCTGGTGAAGGTTCACATGTAAGGATTTCATTTGGAGTATCACTGCCTTCACTCAAGGAGGGCTGTGCGAGGTTTGTCTCTTGGATCAAAACTTCTTTCCAGGGGCTGGGGATTTAGCTCAGCGGCATAAGCGCCTGCTGGCAGGCAGTCGTGAGTTCGATCCCCGGTACCGATAAAAAGGAAACAGACAAAAAAGATTTAAAAAAAAAAAAAAAAATCTTGTTTCCAAGAGGAGCCAGTGACCAAAGACCCCATAGCCAGAGGGGCCTGAAGCCAGGAACCTGGGGACCCACAGAGAAAGAGGACTAGGAGAGACCACTGCCATGCCCTGTGTTCCCCTCTTGTCTTCCCTGAGCTCTTTTCAGCCTCTCCTGAGGTCAGAGGAACGCAGCGACTTAAGCCACAGAACGATCTCTAGGACAATAGCGCCGCTCTCCGCCCTGAGCCCCGCTGGCCCTGCCGGCCACCGTGAGCTGCCTGCGCCCTAGCCCTGCGCCCCGGGCCCCTGTGCCCGCGCAGAGGACCCGTCACACTGTCCCCGGCCTCCTCCGCCGGCTCGCAGCCCCTCGCTTCCTGCCATGCGTCTCTTTCCCTTCCTGGGCTCCATCAAAGGCTGCTCTGTTATTGAAATCCGAAGCCATTTCCTCTCCAAACCCTCAGCTACCCGGCCGGAATCAATGAGCCTATATGCTCTCCCGGAATCCTAAATAAACGCCTGTTTGTTCAGGAGGCGGCCCGCGTCCCGGTGTCTTTCCCGGTGGTTATTTTTGGCAGGGGCGTGACGCATGGAGTGGTGTGTGTGTGTGTGTGTGTGTGTGTGTGTGTGTGTGTGTATGGCGTTGTGTGTGTGGTATAAGTGATATGTGTGAGGAGTGTGGTGGAAGTGTGTGTGCAGTGTGCGTCGTGTGGGTGTGTTCCGCATGTAGTGTGGTGTGCGCGTGTGCGTGTGTCTGTGTGTGTGGCATGTGATATGAGTATGGTGTTTGTGTGATGTGTGTGTGTATGGGGGTGTGTTGTCAGCGTGTAGTGTGGTGTACGCGTGAGTGTGCATCTGTGTGTGACGTTTGTGTGTGTGTGCGTGCCTGTGTGTGTGCGCGCGGTTGTGCCCTCTGCGTCTGGCGCGCATCTGGTTCCCATCGCAAGGCTCCGTCCCTGCCCGCCCACCTTGCCGCCGCCCTGGCCTCCCTCCCGCGGTGCCTGCGCCCGCTCTCCGGGCCGTCCGGTCCCTGTCCCAGTCCTCTTCCCGTCCGCGTTCCTGTCCCGGTCCCAGTCTCTGTCCCCTAGGAGGCAGCGGCAGGGCCGGGTACCCAGGAGCAAAACTCGATTTAGTACCCGAGCAGCTGCGCAGGCGACTGGGGGAATTTTAGGCACTTTCTGGGCCGTGCCCCCGACTGTCCTGCCGTGGAGCAGGACCTTGCCGTGCCCAGCCCTAACTTCTAAGCAGGAATCTTTCAAGACCAAGACGAAGAGGTCGTCTGGGGACGCTGCGCGCGGTGCCCGGGCCGCGACGGCTCAGGCTGCGGGGCGCAGAGGGGCAGGGCTGGCGACAGGCGTCCCGAGGGTGGGGTCCTGAGGGTGGGGTCCCGCAGGGCCGCTCCTCCCTCGCCCTGAGGCGCGCGCCCGCGCGGGGCTGTAACCCGGCTCCGCTGGATCGCCTTCCCGGGCCGCTGCACTTCCCTACGCGCTCGGTGAGAAAGTGCCTCCTTCTGCCCGGGACCAGGACCTCTGCCATCCAGAGCCACAAAGAGACTCTTGCACACAGGCGCAGGCGCGCGCGCACCCTCCACCCCCCACACCCACACCCACACTCGCCCCGAGACACACTTAAGGTGAGGAGAAAGAGTGCTAGCTTCACTTCACCTCCCGCCTCCAGCTTCAGTGGACCAGAGATCTGCGCTTCGGGAGTCCAGGACAAGGTAAAACTCAGGGCACTTTTTCTTCCTCTCTTGGCCATCCTCGGTGACTGCGATTTGAGCAGCAGCGCACATAGCTTGTGTGCGCCTATGCGTGAGGCGAGTTTTACTCTTCTCTTTGCTTTACAGTTGGGTTCAGCAGGACTCCCTCACATTTTTTAAGGCTTACACTGTCCGAAGAAATACTACTGCAGCAAACAGGCTCGGTCCAGAAGTGGGGAGAGAATCTACTTTTTCTAGCTTTTGCTAGGGATGTTATTAATCTGGAAGGCTCATGGTTTCCAAGTGGTGACTTTTCCATCTGCACTTCAACAAGCCTGTTTATAGCACCTGAGAGGAAAATAGCTGAAGGATGGACATGTCCACCTTCGCATTGAGTTATGTCTTAGGGCTGTGAAGATTTATGTGGAAAACGAAGTCACTTTGGTCATAGCAGATACCTGTTAGCTTAAGACTCTTTGAAGCACTATTTTAGTCTAGGCTTCTCGATGTAATTTAAAATTAAGATCAGTTGTGATGCATTTTATGTGTCGAATGATTTGTTGAAAAGAAATGTAAGGTTACAGTTCTCAAGATTACTTTAAAAGTTGTTTGAAGGGTTTATTTTGAGACTTGAGACTACTCAGCACCGAAAGCAAATTGGAACTGTTTGGAGACTGGATGAATTTGTTTCCTTCCATTGAATGTGAATGCTGTGTTTAAAACAAGATGGTTCATTATTTTGAAAGTAGGTTGTCTTATTTTCATTTATCACTGGAAAAATACACCAAGTGCCCAGTACATTGGGAGTTGGGTGGGAAGCATTCCCATGCATGTTCCAGTGTGATGTCATGAAATCAAATAAGAGTCCTGGAAGCCAATGGTCTTGAAGAAATAAACCCTGTGAATTAATTTCTAACTGAATGTAGTATTTATTCATTGCAAATGTCGTTTCTGGTAACCATTTCTTTTTTATTATTTCCGTAACCTAAATTTGAAGTAATTTTATGCACATTTTCGTGACTTGAATATTTTAAAGGAGTCATAAAGTAGGAATAGTGTCAGTCCAAAATACATCATTACAGCTCTCTCTGGAAAACTTCTAGTGTGACTTTCATGAATCCTGACATCAGTTCTCAACTTCAGCTCCACTTACCACACGAAAGAGAGAAAGAAAGTTTTCCCTTCGATTCAGTGATATCTGTCAAAGGACTACTGAGCACTGAAGTTTCAATCTCTAGCTTTCAGCTTCCAGTTTTGGCTAAATGAATGAGGTTCGGGGTGTGTTTTTCTTTTTTCATGATCTCTTCACTAAATGGTAAAGTTGCTCACAGACAGGAAAACTAGATAAGAATTCATTTTGCTTAGACTTAATTAAGTGAGCAAGAGAAAGATCCACCACCTCAAGAGCCCAGGGGCAGGGAGGAATGGGCCCAGAGGCTAGGATTCCCAGCAGGGGTTCCTGGGAGACCCCCTCCCCGCCCTTTCAGGGAGAATCAAAAAGAGGGGGAACCTTATGTTCTTACAAAGTGACCCCTTTATTTTCAAGAAGGCCCTGTCTCCTGGTGGGGAGGCTGAGGCTGTAATTTACAAGCTCTGAGGAAACTTTTGCAGAGAAGAATCAATGAATTATATCCCCGGTGGTTTCATTTCGTTTTCCTCCCTTTGGGAGCTGGTGGTACATCCAGGATAAATACGTGTGGACCGCGTAGAAAGATGCTTTGTGAGCGGCCCGCCACCGAACAGGCCTGCCTTTCAGCATCTTGGGTGTGGAGCTGCGGTATTTTCTGAACAGCTGGAGAAGCCGTTGGAGTCTTAAGGTAGCCTTGGAGTTCATCTTACAGAGAGGAACAAGACCGTATTCAGAAAACGACTCCTTCTTTAGAAAACCCTAGCTTTCATTTCCTTTGGCCCTGCGTATAATTTATCTCCAGGCTACATTCTCAAGATCAGTGGTATCCCACCAAATAAAATGACAACAGGATGCGAGGCAAATTGGAAGATAACTTTAATAGTGCAGTCTTCTGTTGCTTCCCATTAATTCTCTGACATCGTGCAGTCAGGATTGCTGGCCGCAGCCCTTGGTCTGTGTCACTTAAACATCCTTAGTCTGTCATGCAGAGGTACCAGAGCGTGGCTGGGAGAAGTTGGAAGAAACGGAGACCTGGATGTTTGAGATTTTAATCAATAGTGTTTAAGAAGGATCATAGGAAACAGCTGGTTAAACAAATATTAGGTACAGAGAGGACACCGTGGTATAAATTAATAACGCTGCTCTCATTTACACGAAGAATGGGGTTCCTGGTGGGCCAATGTGTGAAGCGTGATCTCCGCTCGCCCCCTAGTGGGTAAATCGGAGAATGCTTTCTCACCAGCCTCCAAAAACTGGAATTTTCTTTTCTTTGGACCCTAAACGCCAGTCGTTGGGGTAAGTGACCAGAGCACAAACTAGAGCAAGTGACGTCACTTAGTCTATTAAATGCGTCATAGATGCACTTGAAATTGATTTGTTCTTCATTGGGTAATCTGCCCTGGGCTCTCCGGATGTGGGCGGAGGTAGCATCTCACTTCTGTTATAAGATTTGCTTTCACAAAGGTGAAAATCTTGAGCCACTGATTCTCAGGAAGCAATGCATTTCTGTAAAGCTTGTTGCTACATAGGTTAGCTGGACGAATGACTGCTAACTTCCATATGTTATTATTCCTAATCAATACTTAGCATGTAGGATAACTTCATCTATAGTTGTCCATATACAACTTTAAAAGAGGAAATTTGCTTCAGTTCTGTTGGAGGAAATAAGTCCTGGACAAGGACAATTACACAGAAAGCCACTGTTTGAAGGAAGTATTGAGATATCACAGAAGATTAATTCACCTGAATGTTGCCATTCTGAGAAACTTTTCTCTAGATGTATGAATGAGTCCTTCAATTGGTTTCTTGCAAGATATATGACTTAATGGCAGTAGTGTTCAGCACATCCGTTATTAATCAAAACAAGTGGTGGAATTCAGATCGGAAAGTAAAATGTCTCAGTAGGAAAGAAATGATGAATCCGTTGTTTGCTGAGCTCTTGTGGTGTGGTTCACAAATCCAGCTAAGTCGGTGTTGTTCAGTAGAAGGCGCCTGCCATTAGGGACCTGTTGTTTTGGGAACTGCAGGGAGGCTTACCTGTGAATCAACAGCTTCTCATTCTGGCCTTTTTCATGAATACCCCAAAATTATAGTCTGTATTGATCAGTGGAGAGGGCTGGAAGCAACACCATCACTCACGTGAAATAAAGCACATTATCTCACTCCTTACTTCTAATAGGTCACTAGCCAATAGAAGAGATTCTGTTAATTATTTCCTCAGATCCTGTTTGAGATTTAGAGTGGGTCACGTGATCACTGCAGAGGTACAGCAATAAGAGATTGCCTAAAGGTCAGAGGCCCTGAAAATAGAATTCCAGTCATGCCTGAAACTGTAATACAAGTGACAGTGGTTTCAGAAGATGTATTACCAGTCAAGGGTAAGCTTTAGGTAAGAGAACTGTTCAAACTCTCCATGGGCTGACAGAACTGAGTTCTTGGTTATGATTCCAAGTACTGGAAACAGGAGAGGAGATGGCTGGGTTTAAGATTATCAGCTATGTTTCTTAAAGAAAGCCAAGATTTCATAGCTAACAAGGGTGATAACTGAGATGGAGGTATTGCTAGAAGACCAAGAAGCCATGAACAAAATAACAATGAAAATCTACGTGGTAAAAATAACAGAACAAGGACTGATCCTCTGTCTTGTCAGCAGAGGGGAAATTTCCCCTCTGTCAAATCAACATCCAAAAAGGGCACCATTTACTTGATTGATGACTAAATTCTTATTACTATAACACCCAATTAAACTAAATCATGAGCTCCACAAAGTCTTACAGAAAATACCTCGTTCAGTCTCCATCCACACCCTAGGGCTTTTTCCTCACTTTGAATATTGCTCTGAAAGTTGCAGTCACCTCCCTGGATAAGTCATTTCTTCACTGGGTGAAAACCTGCAGAGCAGTGGCCAGGCACTATGTGAGCTATTCCTGTTGGACCTCACTTAATACTAGGAAGATCCACTCCAAAATAGTCAGAAATACACAGATAATACACTTACAATATTGCAAGATCCTGAAGTAAGCTTTAAACAACAGAATATCCAACCATTCCAGCCTCACAGTATTAGTACTGAAACAATTTTGAGCGCACACCTTTAAAACCATTTTCAGGTTTGCCATCTCCTCTCTGCAAGAGGTCTTGTAGGCAATTATGTCTGCTAAGATGGAGTGAAGAGATGAAAAATGACTTTGTACACAGTTTTGTTGTCCATCAGTTTGCAACAACTAAAATTCCTAATGAAGGTGCATGATTTAGTGCTTACCACGTGCACCAGGTGGGTACCATCCTAGGTTTGCACAGTAACTACCTCAAGGAGCCCAGAGGCGGGTGGAGGAGCCAGGTGGGCACATGCCGTGCATCAGAAAATTTGCCAAGTAGGTGAAATTTACCTTCCTAATCTCCTGAGTCTCCTTCCTTGCACTTTATCCAAACTTTCTAGCCTCCTGGAACTCATAAACTGATTCTATGCCTGCCGCACCCCTGCACCCCCAAGAGAATCTGATACTCCTCTGGTTTATTGATTTCTTAGCCACACTTAAGTGTGTGTGAGTTTTACTCATGCATATGCCTTTCAATCCTTTTATCTATTAAAGTAAATGTTTTGTTTTCTGTAAAAAGAATTCAAAACATCTGGAGGCTTTCCCATCCTGACACCAAAGGGTGTAATTCAGCCTAATTAAATCCTCCAGGGTCTTCAGTCTTTCTGTTTTCCTTGGCCCTTACTGATGACAGAAAAATCCCTTAAGGCCTATTTCCAGGATCTCAAAGACTAAGCCTGCTCCACCTGCCCTTCCACCTCCAGCAGGGAAGCTGGCAACCTGCTCCTGTGACCCTGAGGGTACCCAAACAGCTTCCTGCTGGAGCCCATCTGTTCTTTTTCCCATAACTCACC